CAACTTGGTGGCATTCCACGGTCAATGTTTGCCTTGGCTTAGATGAGCAGAGGGAAAGCACGCTCATTCAACTGACAGGTGACGTGAAGTCGGAAGGGACTGCTAGTCCATGAGGTTCACAGAGAGCCGGGCAGACCGGAAGGATGAGCCACGACCAGCAAGGTGAGACTGAGGAAGGCAGAGGGGGGACGCTCAGGTACCGGCTGCGTGCTGCAGGGCTGTCCTCTTGGTGAAAACTGGCCAGTCTTTTTGGCAGGTCTTCCTCCAGGAGGGTGTGGCTCGGGAACTTTAACCCAGTTATTCTTTGGACTGCTGGACATGCCTGAGAACAAGCACCTGTACATACTGATGTGGGGAAGTGTCCGAGATGGTATCGCAGAAGGCCTGACGTAAGACAGGCCAGCCAGAATGGCATTTGTGCGTGGACGAGCACAGAGGGCCGATGCTGCGGTTGCGGGCTCATCAGTCCATCTTCAAATGAAAACATCCCAAGTGGAAAATGGGCCTTTGGGTCTGCCGAACCTCCCGGCCCAGCCACAGAGCACAGAGCAGAGGGTCAGTTGCACTCACCGTGGCCCGAGGGCCTGGCTGGGAGTGGCGATCGCTGCCCAGCGTCCGAGAGAGGACTGAACTGCACAGTGGAAAGGGGAGGCAGCACCCAAACCCAGGGTTGGGGGTGCAGTGGCCCCTCAAGGCGGCTCATGCTTGCACCAAGGGAAAGTCAGAAAATTCTAAGTTAGATCTTGGCAGGCTGGCTGGGGACCAGCGAGTTCAGAAAGTTTGTGCAAAGTGGAATTGACTGATAGGTTTATTTTAGTACAAGATAATTTAAAAAAAATCTCTAGGTGGTTTTCCGCTGATGCCCGTTTTCCATGACGTTGTTGACAATGCCTCTTCCATGCTGCACTGGGAAAAACCGCCAGGAAATGCACTGACATGTGCTCGCTTTGGCAACACGTACACCAAGACTGCCACTACACTGAGATGTGTTCCGATGTCCCCAGGCATTGGAAATCGACTTTGATTCTGGGTTTCTGTGTGTTATTTAATGTTAAGGAAGAATGTACTTATTCCTTCTGTGACTCCACACATCGCATTGTCTGCCTTGTCCTTTCACGATGAGGAAGCTGTTAAGACCCCAGGCCAGAAGGGACCACCGGAGTTGTCACGCTATGTCCAGGATGGTGGCCCTGGGCGCCCCTCTGCAGTGTCCCATCGGGCTCCACTATCTCCCTCCCAGGACGCAGAGCCCCTGACAGGTGTGTGTGTACCTCCAGGAGGAGACCTCCTGGCATGGTTAGCACAGCTGGACTATCCGAGCATCACAGGGGGCAGCTTGTACGTGACAGGGCAGGGCACAGTGGTGGCCGCGTTCAGCAGGTTCCTGAAGAGCCTACAGGCAGAGGCTGTGCAGTTGGAGTCTGAGGTCTGGGCTGAACCGGGATCTGCTCGCAGCTGTTGGAAGGGCACCCAGCCATGATGCAGCCTGACTCTGGGTCCACAGAAGGCAGAACAGGGCAGGGAGCGCATTTCAGCACAAGGTGCTCCATCTGTATGTGGAGGATGGAATTGAAAATCATCGGATTCTGGTGCAAACAAATTTGAAATCCGAGACATCTTCCGTCTGCTGATTCATTCCTCAAATGGCTACAATGGCCAGAGCTGAGTCAATCCAAAGCCAGGAGCCTGGAGCTTTTCCTGGTCTCCCGTGTGCCTGCAGACATCAAGGACTTGAGCCAGCCTCTGCTGCGTTCCCCAGGCCATGAGCAGGGAGCTGGATTGGAAGTGGAGCAGCCGGGACTCAAACGGACACCCATATGAGGATGCTGCTGCTGCAGGTGGAGGATTAGTCTACTACACCATGGTGGCCACCGTGCATTTCAAAGGTTTTTTTTTTTTTTAAATATTTATTTATTTTTATTGCAAGTCAGATATACAGAGAGGAGAAGACAGAGAGGAAGATCCCAAAATGACCGCAATGACTGGAGCTGAGCCAATCCAAAGCCAGGAGCCTGGAGCTTCTTCCGGGTCTCCCACATGGGTGCAGGGTCCCAAGGCTTTGGACCATCCTCGACTGCTTTCCCAGGCCACAAGCAGGGAGCTGGATGGGAAGCAGGGCTGCTGGGATTAGAACCGGTGTCCACATGGCATCCTGGTTTGTTCAAGGTAAGGACCCTATAGTTACTAGGTCACTTTGCCAGGCACGAATTTTAAATTCTTTTTTATACCAAAACAAACTTCACTATCTTGTTTTGGTAAGCGTTAGGACATCTTGATGGCACACATGACATGTGCCTTCTGTACCAGCCCCTCCTCTTTGACCTGGTCTCTTTCCACCTTGCCTTGACTCTGCTGGGCTCCTGGGATGCTGCCCACTCCCCAGGTAACCTTAACCTGTTCTCACATCTTCAGGGCTCCTAGCCGGGAGGCCAGGCTCAGTGTCCCTTGCTGTCGTCGCATTCTCTGTGCTCAGGGCACGCACGTGGGGCCTGCCAGTGCTTGCTGGATGCTTTCTTGGTTGACCATTGCCTCAGGGACAGCGGTGAGGAGCAGCTCAGGCCCCTGTAGAACACCCTGGACCTCCCTGTTGAACTTTGCGCACCTCAACTGTCATTCATAACAATTTTTTTTTTTTTTTTAAATTTGAGAGACAGAGAGAACTGTCATTGGCCAGTCTATTCCCTGAAGTGCCTGCAACAGCTAGGACGCGGTTGGGCTGAAGCCAGGAGCCAGGAACACAGTCCAGGTCTCCTCCATGGATGGTGGGGTCCCAGCTACACCTGTTGCCACCCAGAAACTGAAGTCAAGGGTCAAAACTGGGAATGGAACCCAGTTAATCCAATATGCAATGTGGGTGTTTTCATCTTCAGGCTAAACAGCAGTTCCTGCAGCCATCCTTTAACAGGTGCATGTCTGTGAAGGGATGCTTGAGACCCTGGTTTCCAGCTTGCCAATGCACATTGTGCCGCCGGGCTGCGCCCGTGGCCACACAGCCAGACACTCAGCAGCTGGGCATCCCTCCTGAACTGGCGGTTACCTTGGGCCAGGATTGGGTAGGCTCAAGATCTCACCCCCAGCTGCCATCCTCAGGCAGGCCGCCAGCCCGTTCAATCAATTCCTGAAAGCTCCGGGGAGCAGTGTGTAATGGCTTTGGCCCTGTATGTGAACACTGCAGAGTGCTACTCTTCCTGCATGCAACAGTGTAGGGGGACATTGTGACCCCAGAGCGCCAGCGAGCTCAGGTTTACAGTTGATTGGATAATATTTGCCTGAGAACAACCGAATGGCTACCTTTTGTACACCTGATTGGAGATCATTTGTGTAAGAACAGTTGAGTGGACAGTATGTGTGTGAGAACGCTTGGTGGAATATGCAAGACAAAAGGAGTTCCAAACAAAAGCATAGAAACTGTTACTGGGTTTTGTTGATGAACTCAATACTTCCTCCCTTATCCCACACGACCCTCGGTGTATAAAGTCTGAGGCCACTAATAAACTTCGGCTTTTGACCATCAGGCAGGGTCCACGCGTGTCATTATCGGCTCCGTGCACCAAGTCCATCTGTGGGACAGCGACACAACAGCACATGTGTCTATTTAAACAGTGGCGTGTTATCAGCCGTGTGCAGGGAACCTTATCAGGGGCTGATGACTCTCCCTTCGCTGTTACCTGGGTAAAAGTGAAAGTGACATTCTGTCCTTTTAAATCCATTGAAGAAATGTATGGTCCTCAGCTAAAATACCCGCCATGACTGAAGGGTAAAAGAACCTCAAGGCCCTTGGGCCGGAAGCTTGGACTGATGTACACAGCTGAGGCTCGCTGGGGGCTGGGTGGACCATGGGGGTCCATTCCCCACAGAAAGAGAACGAGAAAGCAGACTCACAAGAGCAGCTTTGGGGTCACCCTAAGATACAGAGCCCTACAGGGTGGACACGAGGGCTTTTTCCTGCACCACACAACAGAGTCAGCTCCTGCGCTGCCCCTAGGGGCCAGCCTGGGCGCGTCCCTCACTCCCGTTCCTGGAGCAAGGCCTCCTGCGTGGCTCCTCCACCTTCTGAGGTCTCCGGCTGTCCACGCCCTGTAGCAGAATAGCCCTCCTCCTCCCCTCCCCACCAAGCTTTCCAACGAGACTTCCCTGTATCTCGGGATGACGGACACACGCCCTGTCCACCTACCTAGTGAGTCTTGCAAGAATATGTCCGCATTTGGCTCCATATGAGGCAGAAACCTGCCATTCGATTACAAAGGGCCTCAGATGTTACTTGGTCACCACATGAACTCTATTTTTATGTCATAAATGATAGGAGACATTACCAAATGATCTTACACACGTAATGAAAGCTCTTATTCATCGTCACCGAATGCTTTTATGATGCTGTTCTTGGCAACAGGGAACCACCTGCATGCAAGTGTCCTCAATATCATTTCTGGAAACTGTGTCAACCCCAGGCGCGAGGGGAGGGTTCAGTTTCTCCTGTTGAACTGCTAACTACCTAAACTCTAATTTTTACTAGTCCTACCTTCACTAAAACATTGCACGCTGGAGACGGAAGCACCAAATGAGTTGGGAGTCCTGCCTTCCCATGGGTGCTTTATAAGCTGTGACTGTCCATCCCATCTTGCTGGGTCAGTCCTGTTGGCAGTAGAGGCCAGTGTTGGGGGGCAAAGGGAGGGGTCATTACAGGTGGTGCTTGGTGCTACATCCAGTCTGCATCATCCCGAAGACTTGGACATGAGTGGCCCTTGGCCGTGATAAGCAATCACGAAACACTTTTAGTCAGGCCACGGGGTGGCCTACTCCTTGCCCCCGTGAACACGAAGGGCAGCTGTCAGCCACACTGCCAATTATTCCCAGCCAAAAGGCCATATTCGAAATGAAATGATGGTGTCTGATCACGCATCATCCACAGACCATAATCTTAGCCTTTGCATCGGGGGTAGCATAGCATGGTTTCCAAACATCTTTAGATCAAAAGAACTGATTTTATTTTAAAGTTTTCACTTAAAAAAAAGGGCGGGGGGGGGAGATAACAGACTTTGAAGCATTGGGGTAGGCAACTTTGTCCATAGGTAGACTAAAACTTAGAAAGCAAGGAAAGAACCAAGATTCTCTACGTTGACCTCCGTCTCAGGCCAGACCGGCAAGAAGGCACCAAGAGAGTCAGACTTTCCCAGCATCCTCCACTTCCAGCCTTCTCCCCAGGCCTGGAGAGAGGGCGAAGCAGAGACTGCAAGTCTTTGCCTATGACGTGGAAGACCCTCCTGCCAGCTCCCCCTCCCCAGCAAGGGGTGGAGCTAACGTGATGGGAAGGAGCGAAGGTGGAGAGCTGGGCCTGGCCTCTGGTGCCCCAGGAGTGGAGCTCTGCTGGAGGTGGCCGAGCTGCAGGGGAAGTCTACAGCGATGGCCGGTGGTGGTTGTAGCCGAGATCAGAATCTTGGTCTTGGGACACGCTGGTGACCGAAGTTTGACAGCTCGGCACAGGTTGCCTCACCCTTCCGAGCTGTCTTCTTTCTAGTCACCAGGCAGGCGGTGCGTGTGTTAAGCAGGCTTTTTCGACTTTCCGGAGCAATATCTGATGAGCAGGTAGCACAACTCGGTGACGTTGAGCAGGATGCAAATGCCAGACACGGCGATCATGAACACGGTGAAGACGGTCTTCTCCGTGGGCCTGGAGACGAAGCAGTCCACGGTGTTGGGGCAGGGCCAGGCATTGCACTTCACCAGGCGCTGCATGGAGAAGCCGTTGTACATGATGTAGAAGACGTACATGAAGGCGGCCTCGAAGATGACGCGGAAGAAGATGCTGCTGGTGTAGGTCCACCACAGCGAGCCCTCGATGCGCACCTTCTGGCTCTTGATCTCCTCGATGTCCTTGAATTCGTTCTTGATCTCCCCCTTCATGAACTTCCTCTTCTTCTCGTGTCTGCGGTAGGCCACGTGCATGGCCACCAGCAGCGCCGGGGTGGACACGAAGATCAGCTGCAGGGCCCAGAGTCGGATGTGCGAGATGGGGAAGTAGTGGTCGTAGCACACGTTCTTGCAGCCGGGCTGCAGCGTGTTGCACACGAAGTCGGCCTGCTCGTCGCCCCACACCTCCTTGGCGGCCACCACCAGGATCATGATACGGAAGATGAAGAGCACGGTCAGCCAGATCTTGCCGATGCTGGTGGAGTGCTTGTTGACTCCCCCCAGGATGGTCTGCAGCGTGCTCCAATCCATCTTGTCCTCTACGCCGCGGACACTGGAAAGAGACAAGGAACACAACACGGGTGCTGAGTTGGGGCAGAATCAGGGTGGTTTCTCGGAGCCTGGCGAGGTAAGCGCTCTGAAAGCTCTTCCTGAGCAAATACCAACTCTTACGCAAGCGTACCCGAAACAGGAAAAACAAAACCAAGTTAGTTTGTCCTGGGATTAGAGGTGTAGTTCCCAAACCATCCTCAACATGTCTTCTTGTTTTTCAGTGACTTGTGCAACCCAATCTTTTAGGACCTGACAAAGATCCGGGGTACAGCAAAGTACTTGGGCAGCCGAACAACGCTCCCTAGTTTGCAATGGACCCACTGAATTCTCTGCAGGTGATCTTCGGGTCTCCGTGGCCCCACACAGTCAGCCAGCAGGCCCACCCATCTGTAGCCCTGCGAGTGATCCTGGCTTGGGCTAACCTTGCCTGAAAGGCTGAGCAGCTAAGCAGAGGTGAGTCACAAAGGAGCAGTTTATGGGAGTCCACCTAACACAAAGTGAACAGCGAAATGGTTACTGCTCATGGATACGTTTACATTTGAGAGTCACCAAGCTAAAACTCCACAAGCAGCCTGGCTCACTTCCTTTTTGAGAAGAGGTGATGAGCAACGGTCGCTCAGGGAGAAGCCACCGGGGTGGGGGTTTCCTGTTCACTTTGGTGGCCTGGTGGGACTCGGCTGGTATTCCGTAAGTGGTGCCACCGTGCCTTTTTGATGGCAGGCGATCCAGTTCAGCTTGGTGAGTCTCCAGCCACCTGCCTCACAAGGTGTTCCTTCTTGAAACTTGTCCCTCGCTCCTCATCACGGCTGGACCGGCAGAGGCTCTCCCAGGAGCTGGCAGCCCAGATGGCAGGATGTGAACCGTGCCCACTGATTCATAGCCTACACCCGTCAATCCAGCCCTCTCCTCAGCAGCGCCATCCCTCCACAATCTGGATGAGTCATCGCGCTTCCACCCCTTCTAAGCCATCATGAATTCTTGTCTCACTTAAAAGCATCCTGCTCTCCCACCAGGCAAGTCGGGTCCTGTTTCCTGCCGGACTGCCATGCGTACCTGTCATTACCTACAGTGACTGCTGGAGGGTGCCACGTCCGGCTGCCCCCGACCCCCACCACATGCTACCCTGGGTAGTGGAGGCGGCAGAGACCCAGGCGACCAAGTTCCCTTGGAGTCAAATAAACCATTTAGCTGGATGGAACTTGGAAGAGAAGCACCATTGAAAAATGGGTGCTTGAGTTGGGGTTCAGCCCTGACCCAATTAAATCGACCTGGGCTGTCAGGTGAGCCAGTCGTGGGGCTGGAGTCCCAGGGCTCCTGGCGGCAGAACCGCAGAAAACACTCAGCTTTAATAAGATCTCTTTACAAAATCAGACCTTCCAGTTCCTCACCCGCACGTCCCACGTGGGAAACAGGACACGCAGGGCAAGAACCATCAAAAGACACCTAGCCAAAAACACCGGGGTGGGGCGGGGGGCGCCTGCCTTTGCCGGCATCCACAGCGGCACCCGGTCCTGCAACCTTGCGCAGAGCAGTTCAAAGAAAGCCGCAGGAGCTGCAGCTACCTGTTGCTGTACAGTTTCTTTAAGGAACAGCAGTAAAGAACTCGACCTCCCAGCGGGACAGGGCTGAGACGGGCCCAGCAGCTCTGCCCAGCGGCTCTCCCAGCCTTGTGACCCTGAGCCATCACATGCCAGTACCTCCCAGGTCCAGGCACCCTGCAGGCACTTGGAACCGGGCCGAGGAGCTGAGCAGGCTGAACTCCTCACTGGGTCAACCACAGGCTTCCAGAAAGGTCCAGCACGGCTCTCTATCCGTGAATTAACCACCCCCTGGCTGGCTGACTGCTGGTGGGCCCCGGCCGGCTCCCCCATCTTGCTCGCGAGGCCTTAGAGTGGGAGTAAGCGCCAGTTGCAAAAGAAGACTCAAAAGGGCAGATGAGGACACGCTGTCCCCCGCGCCTGGGGACAGCCCCGGGAACGCGGCGGCAGGGGCCAGCGCTCTCAGGGGAGGGCAGGTCCATTGTCCTCAGGTGCGCAGAACTACAGTCACCAATCAGGGACCCAAACGCCCTCCTTCCAGCCCAGAATGCCCCTGGTAGCGCGAGCTCCTGGCACATTTGGGAAAAGGAGAAGCCACGGAGCTGTGGGCCGAGCGGTGGGCTCGGGACTCCTGCGCCACCTGCGACCCCCGCCCCCAGCCCGAGAGCCGCGCCGGGCGCGCAGGGTCCGCACCAGAGTAAAGGTCACTTTCCTCCCCTACCCCCTTCCCGTGGCAGATTTTCTGCTTTGCAAACGAAACCCAAGGTTCTCTCTGAGCTTTCGGTTAATTTAAAACTTTTGGTGGCAGCAAATACAGCAGCCGCTTGGCCGCAGGACACCTCCTCCGAAGCTATGTCGGCTGTCCCCTCACAACCCCGCGCAGCTGGACCAGTCCCACAAAGCGCCAGGGTCCACGCGTACCCGCCGAGCCCGGGTCCCGTAAGGGACTGCGCCACGAAGACCCACCCAGGGCTCGGCACCCTTCTCCCCCCCCCAGTCCTCGCGCTGACCTGGGCCGCATCCCAGGGTCCAGCGCCCCTCTCCCCAATCCCCGCGCTGACCTGGGTCGCACCCCAAGGCTCGGTGCCCCTCATCCCCAATGCCCGCGCCGGTCTGGGTCGCACCCCAAGGCTCGGTCGAGAGAGATTCCTGCCCGGAAATCCGTCCCCAACCACGGGTCAGATCTCCGTTCTGCCCTTTGGAGACGGCCAGGGATCCCGCGCGTGGGGGGTCCCGTGCCCCGAGAACGCCCGGCGGGGCCTCGGGCTCCCGGGTCGTTCCCGCGTCTCTGCTCGCGCCACGTCGCCCAGCTTTCCAGGGCGTCGCGAGTCTGGCACGGGCGCCGCGCAGCGGCCAGGGCGCAGCGCCGGGCAGCCTGGCTCACCTGCGTCGGGAAGGAGCGCGCGGCGGGGCCGGAAGGCGAGTGCTGCTGGGCGGCTGCTGCGGTGCTCCGGCGGGTCGGGCCGGGCGCCGCCGACGGGCTCCGAGGCGGAAAGCGGAGCGCGCCGGGCGCTGCGGGTCTGCTGCACCTGTCCCGGTCGAGGCGCCTTTTAACCGCGCCCTACACCCCGCCTCTTCCCGCCGGCCGGTGGGGGGGAAAGTGTGGAGGGGCGGCTCCTCGCCGCGGACGGGGCGGGCCCGGCCTGCCCAGCCCCCCGGGACTTCTCCGGACCCCGAGTCCCGGGCTCGGGGGGCTCCAGGCTGGACCGAGCCCCCCGAGCCCCCCGAGCGCGGAGAGGCTGAGCGTCAGGACCCTGGGCGCTCCGGCAGCCCGGTGCTCGGCTGCCTGCGTTTGGAGGCGGGGAAGGGGTAAAGGGACAGTCGGCGCTGACTGTAGCTTCTGCTCCGACTAGGGCTTGGGAATAGTGGCTGAATGTGTTCGTAGGCATTTGTAAAAGGGGTTCCGGAGACTGTGGAGTTCCTTACAGGAAAAGCAGGGAGCCCTGGAGGCTGTGGCTGAAGGGGCGCGGGACCCTGTGCCCCTCTGGAATTTGGGCTCACGGCAGGCGAGGAGGGGATGCCGCTTCGCCAGCCCCTGCGAAGACATCCCGACTTCCAGAGCCGATCCGACGACTCTCCGCCGGGTGTAGGGGAGAGCGGGGCTCGCTCTTGCCTGGGACCCGGCCGTCCTACCCGTCCTACCAGATGGCAAATGGCTTTTTAAAAGTTTGCTCAATTGTGTATATATGTGTGTGTGGGGGGGGGGGGGCGGGAGGAGGGGATTCAGAGGCAACGGGCATGGACGAGGCTTGCCGACCCCCTAGCTCCTGGGGAGACCACGCGGTCCCTCCTCCCCCAAGCTGCATCCCTGACGCAGGGTGTCGGTGTGCACCTGTGGCTGGTATTTTCGGGGCCGCCTGCGTGGGGGATGGTGGCGCACGGCCTCCTCCCGACAGGAGGGCTGGTGAACAACGCCCCGGGCCAACTACCTGGCCCTATTCCGTCTGGGCAGGCAAGAGAGCGCGACCTGCACTCACGACCCCACCCTCCAGCTCCAGGTCTTCGCGTGGAGGGAGTGGGTCCGCCGCCAAAGCCCTGCGTCCTGCACGGCCCACTTGCGGGAGGTGCTGACTCGGCACAGGCCTGCGGAGTGGCGCCAGCCGCCCGGCCTGAGCACACCTACCCCGGGGGTGAGCGGGGACGAGGGCTGGGGAGAACCGGCTCCCTAGTTTCCCGGGCGCAGGGCCCTGGAGAAGCCTTGTAGCAGCGGGAGCTGCGAGGCTGGGTCGGTTCTCCCCACGGAGGAACCGCGCCTTGGTTTCATGCGCCCGCATCGTGCAGCCGGCTGCAGCTTTGTTCTCTTGCGTTCCCCGACCTAGTCGGGAACTTGAGGCGTTACTGTTGGCTGAATTTCACAGCCACTCCGGCCTTCAGCTAGAGCCTCTGCACTCCCAAGCCGGCCCCAGCACCCCGACTAGCTCCGCTGCGTGATCTGGTTGTTCATCTGTGTGTCACGGGACGGCATGGTTTATGTGGATTTTTTTTTTTTTTTTGGTACTTGGAGGAGGGGTGTTGGGGAGGTGGAGAGAAAAGGAAAGAGAAGGGCTTGAATATTTGAAATTATCCACACACACACACACACAGTTCAGATTGCTAGCCGCAGAGCACACCAGAAACCAATATTTTAAAAATGCATCGTGTAATTGTCGTATACGGCGGGATCACGTGGCCGCGTGTTCTTGTATTAATCGCGTGACGTGGAAACGGTCCGTATGGGGCATCAAGTTTGTTGTCTCACCTTGCTTGCACGTTCTTGGGGCTTCAGAGCAGGGTCCTCCCAGGACAGGGCAGCAGGGCTGTGCTCCGATGCTCAGGGTGCAGCCCCTATGTGGCCCCTGCATGCTTTTGTCTCAGGCAGCCACCTGCTTGGACAAGACTCCTTGGAAAAAAAAAAAAAACAAACAAACTCGGGAGGCTCCGGAGGGATTTTGCAGGAAGCTCAGGAATGCTGGTGTTGATGGGACACGGCTGGGCATCTGTGAAAGC